TGAGCTGCGCTTCGCGCAGCATTGTTTTGCACAAATGATTTTTAAATCATCAACACCAACTTCTCTAACCACTTTACCAATATTTGCATCACCATGACCTACATTATCGTCATCATCTACAACGTATCACTATCATGTACATCATCATCTAAAGCACCATCATGTATATTACCATCATCCAAATATTTGTCATCTATATCTGGATCAGTACATTATCATTATCTATATTACCCTTATGATGATGATGATGATGAGATCAGTACATTATCATTATCTATATTACCTTTATCTACATTATCTTTAAATAATAAAATAAAGTATAACGTTATTTATTTGTCTCTGCTGTAATTATAAATTGCAAAACATATTTGATGATTTGTTTTTGTTTATTGGTATACATTTTGATGAATTTTATCTGGAATTTGGAATTTTAAGAATGATTATAGAGTCAAAAACTTTCTAGTCGATGTAATGTTATTAGTGATTCTAATTCTATTACACACTTCGTTACATTACATATATTGATAAAAATTTGTTGAAATTATATAGTTTATTATTTTTTTTTACATATATATAATTATAATTATATAAAATTAAATGGAAAAAGTTTTATAGAGCTTTATATATGAGATCTCAAAGTTTTCAAGTTTTGAATAACGAAAACAAAATTTTGCCAAAAAGCATTTTAAATGTTTGTAGTAATCGGCAGGTTTTTAATTTAAATCCAGTGATGAAATTCATTGAATATTTGTTGTTAATTTTAAAGACTTAATATGAAACAGAAAGAAAATATTTTTTTCGTCTAAAATAATTGTACTTTTAAAATTGAATCATTGAATTATATTAAAGTTGCAAATATTATTTAATTATTTATTTTATTTTTTTAATGTAATTTTTAAAAGTAATAATTTTTATTAAGTACTTGTAAGGGATAACTCAGAAATTTATATTCAAGGTTTTTTAATTTAAGAGAAAATAAATGAAAGAGTTAGATTTTTATATTATTTAAAAGTTTCCAGTATAATTTTTTAAATGGAATATTATTCAAAACTTAATGGTTTTCAGTCTACGATATATAAAATTTGATATAAGAATAATTAAATATTTGTTTGAATATGTTATTTGTGGAAAAAAAATTTTGCTGTTGAGATTAATTAAAGTACCATGGTTTTTCAGCTTGTTATGCTTCAATTTATGTATTTACAGTTACAGATTTACATTGCACTTCCTTAGCTGTAGCTAGGAACCATTGACCTGCCCTTGTTATTTTTGGGCTAGGCTCTGTGGGGGCGGACTTGCTATTAAAACTCTAGGTTTGCCGTGATGTTCATTTCGGTATTTGTTGTTGGTTTTAAGATCGTTGTAAATGGAACTGCTCTTCAAATAGTGATGATCTCAGGTATTCCGTAATGGCCTTTGTAACTTATTCAGCCTTTTCAAATGATTGGTTCTTCTTCATTGACGGCATATTCAGTGATGTCTACAAAGGATTTGCTTCTCTGAGCTATGTAAATATTAATTTTATTTTAAAGTAAAAATTTCGCGATAAAATATTCAAATAAATAGAAAAAAAAGTCAAATGCCTCATTGTTTGTACCTTGGTTTTTCAGATTATGCTTCAATTTATGTATTTGACGGCCACCAGTTACAGATTTACATTGCACTTCCTTAGCTGTAGCTAGGAACCATTGACCTGCCTTTGTTGTTTTCGGGCTAGGCTCTGTGGAGGCGGATTTGTTATTAAAACTCTAGGTTTGCCGTGATGTTCAATTGCATTCTGGTTGTTGGCTTTAAGATCGTTATAAATTGAACTGCTCTTCAAATAGTGGTGATCTTAGGTATTCCGTAATGGCCTTTGTAACTGGTGGTATCCAGCTTTTCCAATGATTGATTTTTCTTCATTGACGGCATATTCAGTGATGTCTACAAAATATTTGTTTCTCTGAGCTATGTAAATATTAATTTTATTTTAGAATAAAGATTTCGCGACAAAATATTCAAATACAAAAAAATGTCAAATACTTCATTGATAATTGTGTTTATACCTTGGTTTTTCAGGTTGTTATGCTATAATTTATGTATTTGATGGCAACGGCAGTTATATATTTACATTGCACTTCCTTAGCTGCAGCTAGAAACCATTGACCTGCCCTTGTTGTTTTCGGGCTAGGCTCTGTGGAGGCGGACTTGCTATTAAAACTCTAGGTTTGTCGTGATATTCGTTTCCATTTTTGTTGTTGGCTTTAAGATTGTTATAAATAGAACTGCTCCTCAAATAGTGATGATGTCAAGTATTTCGTAATGGCCTTTGTAACTGGTAGTATCCAGTCTTTTCAAATAATTGGTTCTTCTTCGTTGACGGTATATTCAGTGATATCTACAAAGGATTTGTGGCGGTGAGCTATGTATATATTAATTTTATTTATTTTAAAATAAATATTTTGCGATAAAATATTCAAATGAATAGAAAAAAAATTGTGTCTCAAATAATTGATATTCGGGCACAAATAAAAAGTAATGAAAATGTATGTATGTGTTACATATGTAATTTATATTATATAGAATTTTCATGGAATAGTTTATAGGTTTTGTTTAGTTATTATTATGATAATAATTTGCCAATAGTTTTTTAAATTTAGAATCTTTAGACATACTTGTTTTTAGATTAAGGTAATAACTTTTTTTGCATTTAAGGTTACAATAAATGTAGATGAAATGAAGTTTTTGTAATTTACGGATTAGAAAGTATCTGTAATTAATGTTTTTTTCCATAAAAATATTAATTTTATGGAAAGAAATATTTTTGGTGTGTACCTTAAGTTTTTAGACTTTTTAGAAGAGGAAAATAATTTGGTTTCGATTCATATCAGTTTAAACGTAATAAAATATGAATGCAGTAACTTACGATATTATCAAAACCGTGTTGTAGTCTTCTTATAAAAGTCTGCGCATCCAATAGGTTCCGGAGTAGAAAATGGTGGTTGAATTATTTGACTGGTATTAAATCGTTGTAACAATAAAACGTAATTACAATGTACACATGTGTTAGTTGAAATATAATTATAAATTTAATAATTTATAAATTTTGAAAAAAAAGTAGTAGTAACTATAGATAGAAAATATATAATATGTGAAATGTATGAAATATTATAAATAGACATGGAGTGACAAATTTAAGGAGATTTTTGTCTAAAATATAGATTTTAAAAGAATATAATCATGTATTAATATTTTAAATACATTTTTTTTATTTATTGGGATATTGGATAATTAATTATTGGCAGATTGAAGATATCAGTGAAAGTTTATATTATATATTTTATATCATAAAAGTTATTAAATATTGGGATAGAAAATTTACTTGAATAATTTTTGAAGGAGATAAATTACAGGTTATAAATGTTTTTGATACATGATTTTGAATTTGAAGATGGGATAAAAAATAATAACAACATTAAATATTAAATTAATGATTTTGAGGCGAGGTAAGTTATTATATTAAATTATATCTCACTGAAATGAAATTCCGAAAAATCTATCCTTGTTAAAATGGCAAAGTATATTAATCAGAAATTGCTCGAGGCATTTGGAGACAATTTTGCCTAAAGTGATGGCATAGTATTTGCTCCATATCTGATAAAACTGCCAATTATGTTACGAAGGAAGCATCGGGTTTTTCGAATCAATAGAGTATAAAAAAATGATAAAAGAGCAATTACGAAATTGTGATATTTGCATAATTTAATAAAATACATTGTTATTATTTCTATATGAGACTGACATTGAAAATAAATTATTAAGGTTTTGATACATGATTTTTAATTTGAAGGTGGGATAAAAAATAATAACATTAAATATTAAATTAATGATTTTGAGGCGAGGTAAGTTATTATATCTCACTGAAACGAAATTCCGAAAAATCTATCCTTGTAAAAAAGGCAAAGTATATTAATCAGAAATTGCTCGAGGCATTTGGAGACAGTTTTGCCTAAAGTGGTGGCATAGTATTTGCTCCATATCTGATAAAACCGCCAATTATATTACGAAGGAAGCATCGGATTTTTCGAATCAATAGAGAGTATAAAAAAATTATAAAAGTAGCAATTTCGAAATTGTGATATTTGTATCATTTAATAAAATATATTGTTATTATTTCTCTAAATGAGTCTAACATTGAAAATTAAGGTTTTAATACATGATTGGATTTAGTCTTGGAAAAAATAACAAAAACATTAAATTATTGATTTTAAAGTAAGATGAAATGTAACTGGAAATATCTTTTTGAAATTAAATTTGGAATAGTATATCCTTCTACATAAGGCACGGTATATTAAGAATTGCTCGAAAGCATATAAGGGCAGTCGTATTTAAAATGGTGTAATGTTTGCCTCCTATTTGATACCAAGTGCCAAATAAAAAATTAGAAGGAAGTATTGCCTTTTTCCATGCGACAGAAAAAATTCTCATATATGAAAATGAGAAGAAAAGACATTATAGTACTGTAAGATGCAGTTTAATATGCCAATATTATTTTTCTATGAAAGAGTAAAGAAAAAAATTGCAAGTAGACGTATTGAAATATAAATATTTCTTATTTCCGATTATACGTTTGCTATAAATAGCAAACCATTTTCCCAATTCTAAGATCAAAACATGTTGTTTTATTCGATTTAAAGCAACTGATTGCACAATGCCAAATTAGCATGTGCTCATATGATCTATGGAAATATAGGGACAGTAGTTAATTCTTGTAACAGAATAATTATAATCGGAAAAGTTTGTCTACTAAAAATTAGATTTGATATTTTGATATTGACATATTTACAAAAATGTTACACGTAGGTAGTGTTTTGTACCAAACTGTCAGATGGAAAAGGCTGGAATACTGAAAACGTATTTGGAGTATTAGATGAGAGAGTATCAAATACGGAAAAAGTTGTTACTGACCTTTATGAAAAGTTTCTCTCAAACTTCATGGATGAGGTGTACAATAAAACATATTATAGTACTTCTCTGTACACGACGTTTCGTGTGTACACGTTTTCAGTGTTTGGTAAAAGCTTACCTTGTTCTGGACGTTCTAACATATAAATTTTAACGTCTTCTATGTTTTTAGCTCTTGAAAAGGCTACATAGAGTTGTCCGTGAGTAAATACGGGTTCCTCCAGATAGATACCCACTCGGTTGAAGGTTTGTCCCTGCGATTTATGCATCGTCATAGCATAAGCTAATTGAACGGGAAATTGCCTTCTCTTTAATTTAAATGGTAAGACGTCACCTCCTGTCTTGAGGTCTATGCGGGGAATAAAAACTCTTTCTCCAGTAGGTCTGCCACTACTGTCGGTTTTTTCAGCGTCTATGTACTGATTCCCCAATACTCGAATAATTAGTCTGGTACCATTGCATAATCCCTTTTTTATATTTAAATTGCGTAAAAGCATTATTATTGCGCCTTGTTTTAAGACCAATTTGTGTGGTGGCATTCCACTGGGTGTTAGTGAATTTAAAAATTCTACTGTGTAATTGGCCACTTGAGCTGCCGGATCATCGGTAGTATCAACAGAATCAGCGCTAGAATAAGTTTTGCTCGGACCCTCTAATTTTTGCAAAACTCTTTTGTTAATAGAGTGACTAATGTTATTTTTAGGAACTAAAATTGCTCTGCGTATAGCCACTATTGGATCTATGTCATCAAAGCAGAATTCAATAAGATCAGGTACACTGGTAACATAACAGTTTGAGGGTATTTGTATAATATTACCATACACTGTTCGTCGTAGAGGTTGTAAATTTCCACTACCCAAATTTAGGAGCCACCTGGCAAACTCTTCATTTTGGATAGCTCTTACGTTGGTACGTAATTCGTAATTTGTAAATAGGGGCCAGTGTCGGCTACTTTTTATGCAGGCGTTTACTATTGTACACCTATTTCCTCCAACGACTACCGGTAGGGTTTGTCGGAAATCTCCACCTAATAATATAACTTTATTGCCGAAGGGTCTGTTATCACTACAGATATCTTTTAATGCTCTTTCGATTATGTTAAAAATAAGATTTGTTACCATAGAGACTTCGTCAATTATTAGAAGTTTACATGAGGCTATGTAACGACCTTCAGTTGTAGTAGGAGAAATTCCTGTAGTTGTTGTTTCGTTAATATTGAAAGGTAATTTAAATGCTGAATGAATTGTCCGAGCACCTTTCAGAATAGAAGCAGCTATGCCGGTCGGACAGGCTACTAATACGGGTAGTTCTCCACCTCGTAATTTTGATATTAAGGTTTGAAATAGGTATGATTTGCCGGATCCCGCTGCGGCATTTACCAAGAAAAGACGATTTGGATCGTTGACATCATGAACAGCATTCATTACTGCATTGCAAATGGTTCTTTGTTCATGATTGAGGTTTTCGTACATTTCCTGACCTTGTACTCTCTCGGCTTCTATATTTATAGGATCAAATTGTATTACGATTTCTGCAGGTTCTGGTAAACCGTACAATGCTAATTTAGTGCCGTTTAGCAGCAGTGTGGTTTGAATACATTTAAGTGTTTGTTGCAGAGCTTGTTCATCGGAAAGACCGTGACGCCTGAAATCTTCCATGAAATAATCTTGGAATTCATCCCAAAGCGCCGGAGCATCTGAAACTTCACAAAAAGCTAATATGATAGCGAACATGCTTCTCAATTGATATGGCATATCTCTAGAGCACGCTTCTTGAAGAGCTCGTTTCCATTCAACGTCATCTGCCAATAAATTCCGATGCTGGCAGGCTTCTTTAAAGGTGTCGTAAACGACCCCGTTTAATGTACGTAATTCTTCATAGGAGCGTGCTCCAGGAACATGTAATAGTAACAAACGTAAATAATACAATTCCTGATTACGTATACTCACGGAGTACATTCTTGTTACAATTTTATCTGCACCTCTTTGCCGACGGGTCCACCGTTTGGTTCTATTATTCCAAACGTAATGGTACGGAATATCGGTGTACAGATATTGTCGAGCATTATTGTCATTTTGATTTAATAAAAACCATGCCGTTAGCTGTGTAATTTCATTGTTTTGTAGGGCTTGTATTTCGAATCCGGGTTGAAACCGAACGATTTGTCTACTGGGGAGATGTACACAGAGCCGGTAAATGGTGTGAGTATTTTTGTGTAATGCAAACTGATTGATATGCCAACAGGCCTCAGGTGGAGTCATATATCGTGCGTTCAGATAGTTTTCCACCTCATTGTAGTTTGCTTGATTTTCTATATTAACCCGAACCAAAGCCATATCTACTCCTTTAAAAAAATATTTATAAAGGTATTTAACGCATTGGGTAGTAGCGCAAGCCTCTGTATTAATATGGCATTTATACTTTAGTAGGATATAGGGATTATAAGGAACTATCCAGCGATTGTCTAAAATACAGTTCCTATTATTAACTCTAACCGTTATAGTCCTACCGTTGTTTGGTCTTTTATAGAGGACTTGACCATTATCAGATATTATTGTCAGTTCACTGAATTCTTTAGGATATTTTTTGGAACAATGACCGTTCACCATACAGACTGACTGTGGGTTTAATTCTCCGCAAGGCCCATGTACCATGAAGGAGGTTACTATTTCATATAAGTCTGGTTCGACTTGTGGATCTGGTATTTCTGCACTAATGAGTGCGTCTATTCTGTAAGGATTTGATAACCTGTCTTCGTTCCTTAAAATGAGTAGATTGTGGCAATGGGGTAAACCTCTTTTTTGGAATTCTATAACATAAAGGTTAGCTAGAGGTATTCCAAAAATTTGATCTTTAAGCATATCGTCTATGATTTCATTTACTTTACACTGGAATACTCTATCCATCAGAGATGGATGGTCATTCGCTGCGTGACCTGCAGGAATATTATCTACTATTTCTTTCCAATGAGTATTTGTTGTCATAGTAATAAAAAGGCTAGGTATACCAAAACGACTCACTACCGCCATGGCATCCTGAAATAATTGCTGCTGATGTCGGGGTGATCCTATAAATGTTGATGGTAAAATAACCATTCTACCCAACGTTGCAGCTTCATCATTCTCATTGCCTTCTTCAACTCTATGGTGAAGATAGTCCGCCAATCCAACATATTCCGTCGCTCTTAACCTTTCTTGGTTACGTAATATGTATTTAAGACGGTTATTTTCAATTTTGATATATGCGGCGACGACGAATTGCTGGGTTAGTCTGCCTCCATATTTAAACCTGTGATCGTTATCCCTAATTCCAAAACGATAGGCATAATACTCGCATAATGTTATATTGCGGTTATCATTTCTGTGGGGGATTCCTATACACCATCCAGGTTCTCCATGAGGAAACAGTAGAGGAAAGACCAAAGGATCATTAAGTTCACTTTCCTCCGATACATTTTGAAATCTAGTGGGTTCATCCCGTATATAAATACGCATATTAGGAGTTGCTGGCGTATCTGGTAATAAATTGTAGACAGCTGCTACCTCTTCAACCCTAGGCAAATCATATTGCCGCCTGTTCATTCCTCGAACACTTAATAATTCTAATGTAATAGTGGGCATCTGTAAGGGCAGAGGTTCTAAATTATTTTGAATGGCTTCTTCTCGAAGTCTTTCAATTGTTTGCAATTCAAAATTGTAACGTTCGTGTAAATGCATGTACGCTCTGGCGTAGGGATTTATATTTCGTAGTAATTGCTCTAAGGGGACAATTAATCGCCTGTCTACGACTTGATTATTATTTTGACAACGAATATTAACAGCTTCATTTGGATCTAGAAAATAAATAGGTCCATAACGCTGTAAAGGTTCATTAATATTAACATTAGAAATATGATGGTACATTTTTCCCCGTATAGCATATACAGGGGGAGCTCGTCCTCGTGGCAAATCCCTCAGGTTTGCTTCTAAAGACACAAACTGAAAGGCATAATTATACAATAATATATGTCTTTTAAAAAGACCTGAGAGGGGGTGGAAACCTTGGAAAAGGTCGTTTAAGAGATCAGGCAAAGCTGGCAAGTTTTCTAATATTACATTACCTTGTTGACAGCATTTCGTGTATTGATCACGAATTGTTTTTTCTACTTGAAAGTAGAAAGCGGAACAATGTCCACATGTTTGATTAAATGGACCTAAATCAGAAATTCCTCCTCTTACAATCCGTTCGCTTGCCATAAGATATGTGGGTCTGTGATTGCCAATATTACGCAATCTCTCTATATCTTGTTGTATTTCCTCTCGGGTCGGAGCATTAACTATGGCAGCATTCACTTGATTTGCTGCTTCTCTCTGGGTATTGAAGATTAAATCAGCAAATTCAGTTTGAATGTCTTCAACCAAAGATGCCGATAATTCGGAAAGTACCTCCTCATTATCCTCTACAACTGAAAACAAAAAAGAAATAAATGTGTTATAAAATACAGGCACAGAAAACTAACCTATTTCTATAATATCCTGAGGTATAGGTTGAACAGTAATGTTATTTGGATTTTCGTTTGTAGGGATTGGTGTATTTGAGATACTTCTCTGTAAGTTTCGGTCAATCTGAGTATCAGCGTTGTTATGAATTATAACCTCCACAGTGACCGTTTGAGGTGGTTCATCCTCTGAATCACTTGAGATTTTCCGTTTTAATGGGAATGCAGGTGCTAAAAATGTAATAATATAAATATAATAGATAATAGAATAATTATATGGATAAGTATTACATTAATTAATGTAATATAATTAGTGAATGATTATACATGTCACATTTAGGATGTGCCTTGTAAAATATATGAGGGAGCATTATAACCTTAGCAATCATGTGATATTAGAAATAGATAAGTTATGAGTTAGTTCTGAACTAATAAATTTGTAGAATGGTTAGTTTTAATATGTAAATTTTTCAAATTTAAACAGTTTTTAACCGTGTTTGACTTATTAATTTATGTATAAAGGTATTATGAAATATTGTTAATAAGAATCTGATAATTCTGATACCACTGAGTATTTTGAATTTTGAATACGTGAACTTAATTCCTGACGTTACTAAGAATGTAAATTTTATATTAATTGAAAAATTAATTAGATTTTTCTATAATTTAAAATATATTTGAATAAATTTAAAATATCCCCAAAAGTACATATTTGCTTCACAAAAAAAGTATATGAAAATTTTTTATTGAAAATATAATTTGAGATACAGTATAATATTAAAAAAGTAATTGATTTTTTTTTGTTTTTTCAGATAGGTACAAATTTCTACGGCAATGGTTTTTTGTCGATTTTTTATTATACTGTAGATAAAATTGTGTTTCGAGTAAATGACAGACATTTTGTTATGTGAATTCTTTTAAATTAAAAAAATCTCAATAATGACCCTTTCTCAATTTTTTTTTAGAAACCATCTAAGAAATTAAATGTACTTATCTAATTTTTAAAACGGTAAGGAGTGCTGAAAATCAGGGATTTTGTGTAAGAGTGCTCTGAATATCTTTATAAATTGTTGATATATTTGTGTACTGGATGGATATTTGTTTCTACTTAGATAAATTATAATCTCAAGTTTTGTCTATGAAACATCCTTAAAGATATTTAAATACATTTAATATATATTTCTTTAAATGGAATATCTTGTGTTTTTGAAAATTAAGTATTTTCTCATGTTCCCATGTTTGTTTTTTTTAAGTTTTCTATCGTCAGGTACAATTTGCAGAGAGCTTGTCGAAATATTTATATTCTGCTGTAATATACAGAGTATCCAGGATCAAATAGTAGTGGCGAACTGATTCAAATAATAAGATTTTAATAAAGTGTATATACAGCAAAATAATAACATTAAATTAAATCAGAATATCTCTCTCCAAAACTGATAAAAGTGAAGCGATATGCGACACGTTTCATAATAAACTTGTATTTTTTTAAAATTTAGTAAAAAAATATATTTCAAAAAAAACAAAAGTTAATTTCATTTATTCGATATTCTAGTTATAAAACAAATTTATGTTATATATTTTAGCTATTTTAAAATCTCCCACACTAAATGTCATTGAAATATTTATAAATTAAAGAAGTTATTTTCAAAGAATATTAATATTTTTGAAACGCTGTAACTTTTTAAGGTTGTAAAATTTGACTAATTTATTTTCATTATAGCAAATTACTCTGGATGTGTGCATATTCGCTTTTGGACGTTAATTGAGTACATATAATTTTTGTAACATTATACATATTGGAAAAATAAAAGAAAAAGGAAATTAATGCCATAAAAATATATTAGACGTTTCATTAAAAATAAGAAACTTTAGCGGTTTATTTTGGAAAATATGAGATTTAAAAAAACTGCATGTCGCAGTACACTACAGATAATATCAGAATTGTTAAGGAAAATAATGATATCTTTTACAACTGAAATAAAAGGACCATTTAATAAAAATAAATTTAGTTACTATAATATGTTCAACAGTGATAAAGAATTTTAAATTAAAAAAATACTAATTAGTGGCAAATGATTTCTTTATCAAATAAAATGGTAACATTATTTTCTTATAAATGACATTCAGAATTACAAATATTTCCAAAACAGTGAGTAGCGATAAAATTCTAGAATTTTTAGTGATAGTGTTTCCTAGTATCTCTACCACTGGTTGATAGGCTTATGTACCAATTTAAATAATTTTTGTATTTAACTAAATAAATCATTAATTTTTGTTAAAATATTTGAATAAATGTATCATTTGCTTTTAAATGTATACAGGGTAGGAAAGTACCGATGGTCTATCTGAAGTTACATGAGAGCGATAAAGTAAGCCATAGAAATCCATGCGATAGAGAAGGATGGCTATAATGAAGGCCTCTCATAGTCACCGCCCGTTTCGCCCTTCCACAAATAAGATCCACTTCTTATTTGTGGAAGGGCGAAATGGGCGTTGACTATTAGACGCCTTCATTATAGCCATCCTTGTCTATTACATGGATTTCTATGGCTTACTTTATCGCTCTCACGTAACTTCTGATAGACCATCGGTACTTTCTTACACTGTATATTTTATGACCTTTAGTAGTGACCTCAGTAACTTTAGACCTTTCCTTTAGTTTACAATGATCCAAAGAAAACCTCCCAAAGTTTTGACATGGAAGCATTCTAAATATGAATACCTTTTTTTATTAGATTTTGATAGTTATTCATACAATTTTTTACACAACTGAATATTTTGGAAATGAGATAAAATGGCTTTAAATAATTAAAGTTTCAGTTTTTTTTTGGATTTTTGATAGTTTCATCGTGTTTGATAGTACTTTAGACAAATTCTAAAAAATATACTTTTTCATGGAAAATGTTATTTTCAATGTATTTATACTTAGACGTTAAATTTATTTTGAATTTAATAAAAAGGGCTTGAGAATGGATATTTTTCTTATAAAATGGAATGTCGATATAATATAACATAAAAGAAAATTTTTGAAATAAGTATTTACAAAACCAAACTTTTTGCATATTTTCTTAATTGTAGCACAGTTAAATAATGCTAATAATTAATTAGTTTCGTTGAAATGTAGTTGTATTACTTACAGGATAACTTTAACGGAATGAAACAGAAAATAATTAAATGAATATGTTTGTAAATAAGTGCAGAATATATTAGGGGGTGGTTGTCGAAGTTATTTTGTGAAATAAAGTTCATATAAGTGTAGGTCGAAATATGCTTCGTTTCCGAGATAGTGTTTAAATTTTAATTTTAATTTTTTTTTATTAATGACTTCAAAGAGTTTTAAAGATATTGATTCGAAATTTGAAAAACTCTTTGGAAGGATAAATGTGCATTTTTTGAGGTAAATCGAATATTTCTACTTGTACCAGTGGCGTCCGTGCGAGAATGCCACCTTTTTTAACAAAGAAAAAGAATGGAATGCCACTGATTTTTTCCCGTTTTGATATTTTTTTTTAGAAATCCACCATCAATTCTGAATGAAATTGGTCTCTTCAATTTTTTTTTTCGTAGAATGCATCGATTTTGAGGAAAAAAATAAAACATATTTTATTATTGTATTGTGTTGTTATATTTTTAATTTCTATTGATACACTATCTAGTAGGTTGCCGTCAATATGTCTAAATAAAATACAAACATCAAATTTCGAGTCAATATCTTTAAAATTCTGAAGTAATTAATAAAAATAAATAAAATAATAAAATTTAAACACTCCGTATCTCAGAAAGGACACATATTTCGACCTCCGTTTATATGGAATTGTTTTCAGTAAATAACTTTGACAACCACTCCCTAAAATATTTCGCACTTATTTACAAACACCTTGTATATACAGTGTGTCCCAGAAGTAACGCAAAAAATTCGTATTTTATTTTGTGTTGCGTTTTCACAAAAACGCTAAAACACGTCGATTAGTAAATAGGAATTGTCGTTTTGTCACGTTGGTTAAACCTTTTTTGCGCTAATGTTTCATAAACCTATGACGTCATCGACATTTTTTTTAAATAGCACCACTTAATTTTTTAAGCATAAATGGATAGTCCTTTTGAAGGGAAATACGTCGATATAGGGTTTGGCCTACTTTACTTTGACAGGAGCGAAAAAAAGCCAATGACTGGAATGGCAATGGTTTAAAATAACAACAGAAGTAGGTACCATAAACTGATGCGAGAACAGTGCCACAGTAAAAAATGGAAATTTGGGGATGTTTTGTGTTTTGGTTGATTGTAGATACGTTTTTATGTATTGATATGTTGGCGTTTTCGGCGATACGACCAATGGCAGTGTGTGGATTTTCAGTGATAGCTAAACATAACATTTTGCCTATCATTTTCTATCACTGTCGTTGGCCTTCTAGATCTAGACAGATTTCTAACATGGCCAGCGTCTTTAAATTTGGGTACTAATCTGCATACTGTAGACGGAGGTATTGGTTGTTCTGGATACTTGGCATTGAATAATTGACATACTTCATCGTAACTACGGATCTTATCTCCGTATCCAACCATAATTAGGATTTCAGTTCTTTGTTTCTCATTTAAACACAACACCATCGTAATGTAAAGTTATGGTATTTGTAACTGTCACAATGATATGACGCACTATTCCATTCGCTGTCGTCTTCAGAACAATGCCTACATAGCCCCTGTGATTGGGTGTACCTACCCAATCTACATAAAAACATGTGCCTACAATCAACCTAAACACATTTTTTGCTATAGCACTGTTCGCGTATAAGTTTTTGTTACCTACTTTTGTTATTAATTCAATCTATGTTCATTCCAATCGTTGGCTTTTTTTTCGCACCTGTCAAAGTAAAGAAGGCCAATCGACGTATTTCTCTCCAAAAGGGCTATACATTTATGCTTATAAAATTAGCTAGTGCTATTTAAAAAAATGTCGATGACGTCATAGGTTTATGAAACATAGCGCAAAAAAGGTTTAACCAACGTGACAAAACGACAATTCCTATTTACTAATTGACGTGTTTTAGCGTTTTTGTGAAAACTCGACACAAAATAAAATATGAATTTTTTGTGTTACTTCTGGGATGCACTGTATATATATATTTGTTTGTAGATCACTTTACTATGTGACTAATCACAGGATAGGAGTATGAAAATAGCCCACCCTACTTTTTACGTTATTTTTCGAAATAAGAAAAATAGGAATGAAAGTTGTAAGAAATATTTTTTAAGAGAAGTAAATATTTTATAAGAAAAATATATGTATATCTAACAAATATTTTCTTAAATAAGGCGTGCATTCAATAAAGTTTTTAATACATCACTGTCTTCTAATTATAAGAAAAAGAAGTTTGTTAAGTTATATCACAACTGAAAGCTAGATGTTGTAAAGCTTGTGTGTCATAAATGTAATGTGCAAATTTTTTTTAAATTTATTTTGAAACCACCAATTCTGCAAACATATTTGTATTATGGTATATTATTGTAACCATATATATTATTTTACTATTAGATTATCTCATGGATTCTACGAATGTTAGCAAGTTATTAAAAATATATCTAAGGGGTATTTTATTAAAAAGTATGTATAAGTTAGATATGTATCATGGTTAATGTTGCAATATGGGTATTAAAACTTTTTCAACAACTTTTGTTCTCATTTCTACTTATCTTTAAAATTCAGGTAGTGGGGCGATGTTTGCTTAACTGTCATGTACAAAGTACGTCCTAGGTTTTTGAGATAGAAAGTGTTAATATCCAAAGAATGTATTTTTGAAAGTATTTCCTGGAGATGTACGAAGTTTAGGCATATGATTAAATTTATTAAGGATCAAAGCGTGTGAAATTAGCATGTGAGATTAGTATGTGATGAATATTAATAATCTCAGAATATTACTTCCACTGAAGTGCATTCAATTTTTTGAAGAAATATGCGTTAGTTTTATTTGTAAAATATACCCTTTTCTTTAAGTTTTCCTTTTAATTTATTTAAATTAAATTTATTAAATAATTATAATATACAGAAAATAAATAAAATATATTATATATAATACAGGGTGGGCCACCAGTAACGCCTCGGTGGTTAGAGGCCAAACGGCAAATGTTATAGAAACCTGTTTAGGTTGGTATGTGTAGGTTGATTACCAATTCAAGATCCCGATAAAGACTCGTGGATACATCTTACAAACAAAAAAAATTGATAAAAAACGAAATGACACAAATATCTCCAATATCAATAAAGATAGGTATAGGGAACCTATACACAGTTTGAAAGAGTTTTACATTTCCTAACTTCCAAAGTAAAAATATACTGGATGTCCCATTTAAAAGTTATTGCTGTTTAAAATTGAGAAAAGTATACCGCAGTTTTTTGAACACCCTGTACAATACTAAGTGACGACAAATTTAATAATTTATAACATCAAGGATCTAAAATACACTCTCCAAAATTATTTTTTTATTACAAATATTACATTTCTACGTTAAGCCTGAATTTTCACTAAAATTGAAATAAGTCCTAGGTATGCAGAACCTTTAATAAAGTGCATATATTTTTTTACAGTGCTTTCAGAAATGCAATAAAATATAAGGTGTTCCATTTAAAAATACATAACTTTGATATAGTAAGCTTTTCCTACCTTGTATATTTCAAAATAATTTTAAAATGTAGCCGCAATCAACCTACACATACCCACCTAAATAGGTTTATATAACATTTGCCGTTTGGTCTCTAGCGACCGAGGCGTTACTGGTGGCCCATATGCATTAAACGTAATTAAGTCATATATTATTATTATTGATATACAATTTTTATTTTCCATGAGACAGTAGTGTTTCTAAACTAAATGTCTATACATTTTTTTGTGAAAAGAATAATTGTTCAGCTGTTACATATTTAATCAACTATGTGATAAGGTTGTTGCCCGTTGAAGAAACAAAATTTTTTCTTAAATACCACAGGCACTTTAATTTCAAAAATATTCAGTGATCAAAAGATAAGATTCTTAGTGAGAAAGTCACCCATAATTTTTGAAAGGTATGTAAATAACCTTACATTTATTTTAACTTTAATATCCTTCTAAAATCAGTGCTTTTAAACTTAACCGTTTAAGTAAAAAGTTTACAAAATTTTTTTTAGTCAAAAATGATGGAAGAAACAATCTTCTGAAGTTATGACATCCTTAAAATAGACAATGTATATTGTGTAAATTACTCTAAATTGTAAATTTTCCCTAGTTAACAGGTGCCTCAACTTTCCTGGATCACACTGTATACAGTATCATTAAAAATTTTTGTACGGTACACAATATTTATCTTGAATAAAAACTAATCTTGAGAAATTTTCATATTATTACCATAAGTCTGTGATGCTTTGTAGAAGTCATTTTCAAAGTTTGATATAACTAAATTTTTTTTAGCATCTACATATAGGTAACTAAAAAAATCTTAAACAATGAATAATTATTAATTATTGGTTTGAGATTATTTTATTATGCCACACTAAAATAGAATTATACATTATATGAAAGATCATGGCATTGGAAAACAATAAATTGTTCATAAATACATTTTTTTTTCAAAACAACTTATTACATATTAAAGAAGTATGTTTTAAACGATATCAGAAGCTATCCGTAATGTTATTAATTTTATATATTTATGGCGATAAACCATACTTAGCATAAAGTTTAATAACATAGGATAAGCGTAATATGTAAAGAGGCATATTATTTATTTAACTACGATATTTGACATAAATCTGACTTTTTACGATCTGAAAGGAAAAAAGAAAATGTATAAATTATAGTTAATAATTTTAAGTTGTTTACAGGTTTCATAGAATGTTATCGAATTAAGAATTTCAGTACTTTATATACGTATGTATGAAACAGAATGACATAATATTTAACTATATATATAATGAAATATTTTAATCTAGTTAAAAAAATTAACTTACCTAAGGAAGTGGTGATTTCTGAAACTGAGGATCCAGCTTCCACTACACTTTGAGAGGGATTAAGCATCCTGCTTATTACGGAGTTATTATCTTTTTCTCCTACTGGCTGCTTCTCATCATTCACAGAAGGTATGATTACTGGAGGCCTAATACAAATGTTCTGTAAAATCACAATTTTTTTTTTCTGTGAAGACTGTCTTTTTTTCTGTGATGCAGAAGATGGTGCCATTGAAGCAGACGACATATTTGCAGAATCAGATCTTTTTGTAGATCGGCCCCTCAAATCAACTCCTTTCGGTTGGTTCAACCTTTTTCTGACTTTTCGTGGCATCGTAAATGATCTGAAAATATAGTAAGTGTTTTATGGTGATGTTTTGGTACATATACTAAAGAAAGGGATAAGACAGTTCAGAATAACCACTTGAAATAAAATTGGGTTAAAATTGGGGAATATACAGGGTGAGTTTTGAATTTACGCTACAACTTATTTCGACTGTAGCTTTTGAACCATTTGCGAGTATTAAATTATTATTATTACACATCGTATGCCATCGAAAGCCAATAGATTATTAGGCAGATTTGAATATTCGAGTTAATAATATTTTTGTATTTCCTTTTTTCTATTAAAGATAGTATAATTTGCTACTGGAATTTTATACACATTATAGAAATAAAAATCCCAAATTTGAATAGGTACATTTGTTTTTATTTGTCACATCAGAAAAGTTACCCCTATATATTTTTATTCATATAGCATAATGAAAATATGTAAACCAGTAATAAAATTCATGAACAAATTATTTTGTTACACTATCTTCAACTTGTGAAATAATGAAATGTTTACATTTATTGCATTGCTTTTTCAATATTGCAATAAAAAGATCTAATTTTCTTATCTCAATTCTTTACAAATTTTTAATTAATAATGACTAACAATACTGTGAAATGTGACTCTGTTTTTATATAAAATTAAAAAATTATAGATTCTAACAGAAAAACATATATGCACTTGTTACATTGAAAAAGTTCTTTTGTATAATTTTAATTTTGCAGAGATTTTATTAGTCTATAAGTAATTCTGTTTCTATATTATTATATAATTAAGTGTTCTATATTATTATTTCTCATTACTTTTTTTTATCTATATTACACTTATTATTGAAAATTATTAATTATTTTTCACTTTTTAAAAGAAATGAGTAAATAGTCTTCTTATTTTAAGTGCCTACTTCACTGATGTAGAAATATTTAATTATATATATATGCATAGGGAATATGCAGCAGGAAAGTTTCCAATATGAGAAATTAATGTGGGATCATTTTTAAAAAATTATTTTATAGGATATGAAAGTGACAAATCAATAAATGATTTTTGTTATTGGTATAGAAAATAATAGAAAAAAGATATAGTATGAAAAACTTGAAAAACTTTCGCCATGAAATTTTGAAATTGTAATTCCAAGAGTCTGTAGATCCGTAGTGGTATATGGTGTATAATAAACACACCTACATTAATTTGAATTGGCTTAAAAGCTATAACTAAAACAAACCTTAATGAAAATTCAAAAATCACTCCGCTGAATAAAAAAGTCCCCATAACCATTGAGTCGGAAAGTTCTTAATTTCTGAGATAGTGTTGAAGTTGCTTGAATGAGATATTTATTTCTGAATGTTTATGGTGTAGGTAGATGAAATTTTGGTTAATAATTTACTGAAAGGTAAATATATAAGTCAGATAAGTCAATCAGTGGCAGAGATACTTGAATGAACTTTTAATCAGAACCGTAGAATTTTGATGCAATGAATATTACGTTGCAAATGTAGGTAATTTTAATTCTTAAATGTGTGTAAAAAAATGATCTTATATTTAAGAATAAGTCGTTTTTGATTTTTGTTTAATTAAAAATAGGCTTATTGCTTCATAGAATAATTTATATTTGTTTAAAAAAAATGTATAGGAATTTTTTTATTAAAAATATAATTTTAAATACAATGTAATAAAAGTTTAAAAAACTCATTTATGTACCTAGATATTTTAATGTTTAAAAATCGTATACATTTTTTTGTGAAAAGTACGTAATAAGTTTTTTTAAATAAAAAAACTTCATAATGGCTCGTTTTTGAAATAAAATAAAAGTAAGGTTTTTTCTTAGACACCATCTTAAGAATTAAATGCAATTAGAAAAAATTTACAACACAGTAATAACGAATATTTGGAGCTGCGATATACTTATAACTTTTTTATTGAGAGTTGTGTCAACCAGTGTATATAACAAAGATATGAATAAATCACATTAAACTAAAAAGTGAGTAACTTTATGTAGCTATGTATTATATGCAATATGAATTAGTTTTTCTATTTCCTGGCTTTGAATAATGAACATTAATAAAGAGAAAATTAGAATTACCTACACAATTTTTAATTTTATCGGTCATTGTGAATGAAAATAGTTGACTTGTCCGAAATCTACTACGTAAATAGAATTGTAGTACTTAAATGACTAACATACTATAAAATAAACTATATTTTTTCCAAAATGGGAATATCTATTACTTTTTTACTACTGAAAATATACTGTCTTATGTGAAGTTGATATACATACCTAGGTACATCTAATTAAATTTATTAAACTAAAAAATGTGTAACTTTATGTATGTATTATATACAATATGAATCAGTTTTTATTTCCTGGATTTGAATAATGAACATTAATAATGAGAAAATTAGAATTACCTACACAATTTTTAATTTTATCGGTCATTGTGAATGAAAATAGTCGCCTTGTCCGCTTGTCCGAAATCTACTACGTAAATAGAATTGTCAGTACTTAAATGAATAAAAAATTATAAAATAAGCTACCTATATTTTTTTCCAAAATGGGAATATCTATTACTTTTTTACTACTAAAAATACCTGGGTTGTCTTACGTGAAGTTGAGATACATAAGTACGTAGGTAGGTTTATCTAATTAAATTACAATGAAATTCGTATAGATATTATGTTAAATTGTAAGAAAATGGATAGGTACTTACCGGTTAAATTTTCAGGGAGTAGTAGTTACTAACGTTTTAAAAAAAACGGTTTTGCAAATCTAATTACGCAAGAAATAGATACGTACGTAAATAATGCGCATATAGAAATAGCGTGGGTTAATCGTATTTTGTTGAAAATAATAATTGCTTATTTCACTTCACTTGATCACTTGATTTACAGGTTAGGTTGCTACGTGAAAGTAAACTTGTAGCTGTAGTCTTAACCAGTGGTGTGTTTAAAACGTTTACGTATAGATGGAAGCACGGCGAAGTCAAATATAAATCTTAAATTAAAATCTATGAAAAGCTCAAATAAAGATTAGGTATTTAATATAAGATTTTAAAAAGGAAATATTAGTATATAAAAACATACGAATAAAAATAGGTACCTATCTTTGATTTTTAAATTTGAAAATGAAATTAAATAGTCCGTCTGATTTTTACAGAGATTGATATGTGGCGGGTTATTTGAAAATAGAATGAAAATAACAAAACAGCTAATAGACTATTGATTATTGGATTTTAAAAGAAGCTATGACGTTCAAGATATTTTATTACATGAATCCTTAAAATGGTAATTTTAGATTAAACAACCGCGGAGTGCTATTAAATTAGAGGGTGGAAATTGGAGACAGGGGTGAAAATGCATCCCTTTCAGTTTTTTAATTGTACCTCGAAAATTAAGCAAAATTTCGCTAAAGTTCATAGGAAAAATTATTTAGAGAATTGAATTTCCCATAGAAATGACTTATTTAAAAAATTTTAAAGGAAAATTTTATGCAAAAAATCGTTAATAAACGATTTGAAAAAAAGCAAAAAATTCGTTTTTTTGTTTTTTTTTACTTTTTTGCCTCTAATTTTTTTTTTGAGTAGAGAGGTATAGGCATTTCTTCATAGAAAAAAAGTAGATAAAATTTCCTGCAAAATAAAAGGTTGTAAAGTATTTTTGGATGAAAATTGACTATTCTCAAACTTACAATTACCCAATTTTTCGATTTTCGTCGAGTTTATCCTTATACGTTTTAGTTCTCATTTTTTGCAAAAAAGGAAGGGAATAAAACGTTCAAGGATTTTCATCACATGACTTGTTCGAAGCGTCATTAAAAATGAAAAAACTGCGGGATGCTATTAAATTAGTGGGTTGAAATTGAAGATAGGGGTGAAAATGCACTTTTGCAGTTTTTTAAATATAGCACAAAAACGAAGCAAAATTTCGGTAAGGTTCATAAGAAAAATTTTGTAGAGAATTTAAATTTAAAAAATTTTAAATAAAAATTTTATGCAAAAAATCGTTAATAAACAATTTTATTGATTCTGAGTTTTGAAAATCTTTATTTATTATTAACAAATAAAATTCAGTCAATATTAGTCCAAAAACATTTGAAAACGCATCACTTTGAAGGGAATCTCGTCTAGTTTTTTTTATACAGCAATTTTCTTTGCCTACTTCTATTAAAAAAAAATTGTCGATTTTTTTTTTTAATTTTTTTAATAAGCCATTTCGATTGTATATTCAATTCTCTAAATAATTTTTCCTATGAACTATAGTGAAATTTTGCTTCGTTTTCGAGCTACAATTAAAAAACTAAAAGGGGTGCATTTTCATCCCTATCTCCAATTTCCACCCTCTAATTTAATAGCAATAATCTAAAATGACCCTTTGAACGATTCATACAATAAAATTGCTTGAAGTCATAGTTCCTTTTAACCCAGTAGTCTATAATGTAATCGTTAAAGTTTATTCTCGGTTTATTTTGTAGTTAAAATTGGAAGATTCTATTGTAATATCAATTGCGGTAAATCGTCGATAAATAAAAATACTCCTGACGGCTGAGATTTAAATCGAGACTGGTATATCGGCTCTTTACATCTTGAACAACAATGCGAATGTCCCAAGCAATGTCTCACAATCAGTACAAAATTCCATGTGACTTCACTGACGTCCGGTTGGTTTTCAGATTTTCGCCGATTGCCGGCGGGAATATTTTTAAAAATAGAAAATTATTTTTAAAAAAGTCAATAAATCAAAATACACTATGCCGTGGGTACCCAGGAAGAACCTAGGAGCGGTTTACGTTAATTGATTTTGTAAAACATCTTAAATGAAATGTTTGGAAAAGACATCTGTCAGCACTCACGTTTTTCTACGTAAATTTTAAATAAATAAAGTAAAAATTGGTAAAAATAAAAAACAAAAAAACCGTTTCTGTTCCGCGATTCGAACCTCCGTAATTCGGATCGGCAGCCGGCGCTCGACCCATTCAGCTACTACAGGCCCTTGGTAAATCTTTCTCGTAT